TCTTCTTGGATCCCGGGACGCTGACGTAGATCTGCGAGGGAAAGGAGCCGAGTTTTAAGGACCGTCGGGAAGCGGGAGGGGACGGAGCACACCTCCTAACGAGGAGGAGTACCGGCGACCCGCGGCGCTCACCTGCAGGAAATATTCCACGCGGAGGATGTTGCAGCCCAAGATGGAGGGTTTGAGCTTCTTGACGCGGATGGTTTTGCCGCGCCAGGACTCGGACATGCCCGAGATGATGTGGTTGCCTCGGACGCAGGAGAGTTTCTGGGTGAAGACCTTGGTCTGCCCGTTGGCCAGGTAGGTGTGCTTGGCCACGATGGCGGCCTTGGGGACCACGATGCGGGAGCAAGTGTTCTCGAAGTCGGCGTTGATGCAGATGTCGTCGCCTGGGGAGGAAACCATGTTTAGGACGCTTTTCCCAACTTTTTCCCTGGTGGGAAGTCTCGTTTCAGCATCCCCAGTGCTCCCCACCCTCCCATCCCACCGCCCCAGGAGGGCAGGGTGGCCCCTCACCTTCACAAAAGCCTTTCCTGTCGATCTGAGCGCTGACCGACACGCGGCCGTCCGGGATGAACATGCACGACACCTTCTTCTCCTTCTTGGCAGCAACAGGGGACTGTGGACGAACCGAAGATGTTACCGAGGTGAACCCCGCCCCGTTCCCATCCCGCTCCTCCTTCCTTCCTCTTATTTCGCAATAAGCTGCGAGTTCCCCCTGAGGCTGGAGCGTCCTGCAGCCCAGCGGAAGCAGAACGAGCTTTTTGTGTCTCGGTGTGGATTTCTCCAAGTCACTGGGACTTCTCCAGGACTAAATCCTTAATCCAGGCTCAGCAATAAACCCTATTAGGGGCGTCTTAAGGACAGAGGTCGCACTGACCCCACCCCGAGCGCTCTTCTCTCTCGTAACGCCTGCTGACACCCCAACCTCTCCGAGCAAAGCGGCACTTACCAGCAATTCCGGAGTGTTTACGTCCACGGGATCCATAACTTCGAAGCGCTTCTTGATCTCCTGAGTGGGGAAGGACGGGCGCTCCAGGAAAGCTTTCACCCAATAATCCACGCAGCCGTACTTTCCCTTGAAGGTGGTACCCAGAGGCCTGCGGAGAAAAAGACACCTGTTAGACACATCCCAGGCAACAAGAGACTTTTCCCGTAGCAAATCCGATTTTGAAGAGGCAGCGTTCCTTTTGTACTCACCCCTGGGGAAGCTCGAATCCGAATTTGTACTCGTATTTGTTCCCGGGTCTCAGGATTACAGAGCCGTCCCCATCTGGGAAAAGGAAAGGGGAAGGGAACCCTCAGCTGCAGCTCCACGGGTCTGTTGTTACGCCTTATCCCCAGTTCTGCTTACGCAGGCGGAGAGCGACTCGACGGGCTCCAGCTGCCTTAGCTGTTTGCTAAGAGCCACCTACACCTGTCCTCCAGGAACAGCCCGAGAACCTGGCGCCTTCCCAAGGCAGGGAAGCGCTGCTCCTTTCACTTCCCTTCTTCCAACATCCCCATTCCAAGCCAGAACACCACGTTCTGGTGCGCTTCGGTCCCTGTAACCTCCTCTCACCACATCCTATTTCCACTTCGTGTGGGTATCGAGTACCCGCTGCTTTCCCCAGCGACCTCTTCATCTCCAAGACTCCGTGTCACCCTCCTTATCTTCACCAAATCCCCATCCCTTGTCTTCCCTGGAGCCAGGAGAAGACACTCCTTGTCTCAGGTGAGATCTACACTTGCCACTCCCTGACCACCGCCCGTCCCGGGCACCATCCCGGCGCCTCCTGCCGCCGCGTCACCCAGCCAAGGCCAACTCCAGTACTCGCTCCCTGCGGGCACGCGGCATCGCTGCCTGTTCCGCTGGCCACACCGGCACTCGATGGCTTCTGTGCGCTTCGGCAGGCAGCTCCGTCTGCCTTTTGTGTTAGCCCTCGCCTTTCCAACTTTGAACTTGACTTAGCCAAACCCCGTTGTCCTCTGCCTTTTCCCCGCTTTCAATGGATTTCCTTATTTCTCCAAAGGCTCAGCCAACGTCCAGCCCCACTTTGGTCTCAGCGCTGAGCCCCAACTCCTCACCTCCAAACTGGCCCAAGGGACACAACCAAAGACTCACTCCTGGTTGAAGAGCAGGGAAACCTGCCGGTCCGCAGACTAACTTTCCAGCCCTTCCCTCCCCACCACCTCCCTTCTCCCAGCCCCGGATCCTCACCAGTGGGCTGCTCCTCCAGGGCGAGGACATCCTCGAAGCGCAGGTACTCCATCTCCTGCCTGCACTGCTGGGGGCCCTTGGCCCAGTTGACTTTGGCCACCCCGCAGGCCAGCACCTTGAAAGCGCTGACCACCTCCACCAACACGCGCCCGGCCACCTTCTCCCCGCTGCAGTAAACCTTCTCGGGCTCGCTGAAGGCCACCACGAAGGTTTTCACCTTCTTGAACATCACCATGGCTGAGGTGTGAGGTGCGGGGAGAGAAGCTCTTGAGAAAGCAGCGAGGGAGCCGCGCGGGGCAAGACCGAGCGTTCTTTTTTTCCCCTTGAAGAGGAAAAAAAAGCCTCGAAAACGACTGATTTCAGCCAAAAACGTCGATCCAACCCTCCGTTTCCCGGAGTTTAGGGGAATTCTGCAGGACCGCTC